CCAATTTATTTTTACTCTTAAGGCCGTTTGAGGATCTGTTCCTCAGGAGTCACATGGGCTTGGGAGGAGCCCCTGGCTCCTTTTACGAGTTCCATCTATGTGAACTAAGTCAAAGGTCCTGCTCAACCATGGCTGGCTTCACTTGGAAGCATGGAGGAAATGATTCTTTTTGTTGACCCTCCTCTTTGTAGACTGGACACTGGCTCAAGTCCATCTTGTGGGGCCTCCTTGGCCTCCTTGATCAAGAGAACAGGTGACCCACAATTACAGGACACTTTGACTGATGCTCATAGTCCCCTGGAACTAGTCAAACCAGGAGGGCAAGGAGCAAAAACTGTCCTTTATGTCCCTCTGACCAAATTAGTATAGGCCTCAAAGTATGTCTGTTAAACATCCAAGAAGGTTAGTTCTACCAGTCTGGTTCTTTTAATTACCATGTGCCATGTAGATGAAGCTTGGGCAAAGACCAATTGTTCTCAGATAAACCTTGCCTAGACATATATTTCTTGACCTGGTATGTATAATTTGTCATTAGGTTGTTGGACTAATATGGTTCCCTCTGGTTTTTAAAACTAGGCATTATTTATCTCTCGCATTATCTAACCCCTCCATCATGGTTTACCCAATTAAGGTTTTGTTTTTAATTTAAACAGTGCTTCATTTTACTTATTTTGCATTAGGTAGACTTAATTTTAGAGGTTTCTTTTTTTTTTTTCTGTCTTTTTGAGATGGGGGTCTCCCTGTAGCCTCAGCCATCCTGGAACTCACTATGTAGACCAGGCTGGCCTCAAACTCACAGAGATCCGCCTGCCTCTGCCTACCGAGTGCTGGGATTACAGGCATGTCACCACGCCTGGCCTCTTTTATTACTTTCAATCGATAAATATTTTTATTCTTTGAAATGTTCATGCATTTATAAATGTATTTTCATCATCTCCTTCTACCATTATAATAACCATTGTTTTTTGCTATTCAAAATTTTATGACTGTTTTCAAAGGGACTCCCTAAATATATATACATAAGTATTTGTTTTGCTGATAACATTGGGTTCTTTTTACTTCATATCCATTCCTAATGGGTGAAGTATGTCCTTATTCATAGACAACTATTCTTTTTTAGCTTCTTGATAGCTAAGGTAACAAAAAATTTAAATACAAATTTATTGCATACTATTAATTATTATCTTTTTATTATATGATACATAACTCAATACTTATAATATTTAAATTAAAAAAAAGAACTTTGGCCTTGGCTTAACTACAGTACTCATTATTTTTTAGGTGGAAGTTCTTTCTTCTCTTCAGAAACCAAAGAAGATCTCTTTAAAAGGCTCAGATGGAAAGTTCTACATCATGATGTGTAAGCCAAAAGATGACTTGAGAAAGGATTGCAGACTAATGGAATTCAATTCTTTAATTAATAAGGTTTGGAGATAGTTTGCTTTTATTTTAAAAATAGGAAAATCATTATCAAAGTGATATGGACTTCTAAAGAGTAGACTGCTAAATCACTCTTTTTAAAAATATCCCTCCAGAAGACCCGGGTTCGAATTCCAGCACCCACATGGCAGCTAACAACTGTCTGTAACTCCAGTTCCAGGGGATCCAACATCCTCTTCTGTCCTCTGCAGGCATTGCATGACACGGGTGCACTTACCTACATGCAGGCATAACACTCGTACCTATAAAAAAATTATAAATAAAATATTTTTTAAAAATATAAATAAGTAAATAAAATAAAAATATCTCTCCAGCTGGGAGTGGTGGCGCATGCCTTTAATCCCAGCACTTGGGAGACAGAGGCAGGAGGATCTCTGTGAGTTCAAGCCCAGCCTGGCCTACATAGTGACTTCCAAGCCAGTTGGGGCTATAGGAAGACCCTGTCTCAAAAAGAACAACAAAAAAAAAATTAAAAATACCTCTCCATCTCCGCTAAATTACTCTTTAAAAGAAGAAATGAAATGTACATTTTCATTTTCTCATTTTTGCGATAAAATTTACATAATGTCATTTCAACCATTTAAAGTAAATTTCAATGCCATTAAGTATATACACACTGTTGTGCAACCATCGCCACTATCCCTTTGAAAAAATGCTTTATTAATATTCCAAATTTAGGCTGTATCTGTTAAACCACTACTCTCTGTTTCTTCTCCACAACCAATGTCCAGCAACTGTAACACTGTTTTCTACCTCCTTTAGTGTATCACTTTGGGTACCTCATAAGTGGACTCATCCAGTATTTATACTTTTGTGACTGACTTCTTTCATTTGGCAGTATGTCTTCAAGATTCAGAATTTCATTCCATTTAAAACTGAATAATAGGGGCTGGAGAGATGGCTCAGAGGTTAAGAACACTGGTTGGTCTTGCAATAGACCCGGGTTCGAATCCCAGCACCCACATGGCAACTAACAACTGTCTGTAACTCCAGTCCCAGGGGATCCGACAGCCTCTTTTGATCTCCGTAGGCATTGCATGACATGGGTGTACTTACCTACATGCAGGCAATACACGCATACACATAAAATAAAATAAAATTTTTTTAAAAGTTAAAAAAAATTGAATAATCTACATAAAGAAAATCCTACATTTTCTTTATGTTTTGTGAACACTTAAGTTTCTTCCACATGATGCTTTGAGCAAGTATACCAGTATCTATTCAAGTCCCTGCTATCAGTCTTTGGGGGTATACATCCAGAAGTGAAGTTATCCGTTTTACTTTTTTTTTTTTTTTTTAACATTTACTTCTAGAGAAAAATAGAAGACACTAATGGTGGAAAACATTTTCTCGGAGCATACCTTTTTTATTTGTCAGGATTTATTTGGGTATTCTCTTTCAGTGCTAGAAAAAAAAATTAGGTACTGTTTCATCATTTTACTGTTGAGAGGTAATGGTTAGCAATTTTTTGGTTCTGTTGGAAAGTGCTTGTTATCTGTTCAAAGATGGTATGAGAAATCTAATTAAAGGTTTATTATTAGTCAAGAGTGGTAGCACATGACTGATCCTACAACATAGAAGACTGAGGCAGGATGGTCTCAAGGGTAGATTACAACACATTTTGACCTTGACTGAAATGTAGCGCTTATCATAATTTAGATTTCTTGCTTCTCTTCAGAAACCAAAGAAAATCTCTATAAAAAGCATTCAATGGAAGGGTCTACAACGTGATGTTTAAACCAAAGATGACTTAAAGGATTGTAGACTAATGGAATTCTGTAAGGTTGCTAACAAGACTCTATCTCAAAATAGCATCAACAAAAAGTTAGTTATAAATATTCAATCTTTGGGCTGGAGAGATGACTCAGGGGTTAAGAGCACTGGCTGCTCTTGTAGAGGACCCAGGTTTGATTCCCAATACCCATGTGGTCGCTAAGAGCCATCCATGACTCCAGTTCCAGGGGATCCGACACCCTCATCTGACCTCTGTGGGCATTGCATGACATGGGTGCACTTACACATACAGGCAGTGCATTCATACACATTAAATAAATACATAAATAAATTAAATAAATAAATAAGTGGAGACAGGCAGATCCCTGGGGCTCAGGGTCAACCAGCCATACTCTAAAATGATGGAACTTCATTAATTTTTCTGCAAGCTGTGGAAAGCAAAGGCAGGCGGATCTCTGTGAGATTCTGGTCCACATAGTGAGTTCCAGGCCAGCTGGGGCTACAGGGAGACCCTTTCTTAAAAAGGCCAAAGGAAAAAAAAAAAAAAAAAGTTTTGTTTGTTTGGTTTTTCAAGACAGGTTCTCTACAAGAGAGAGGCCCAGGCTGGCCTTGAACTCACTATGTAGCCATAGATGACCTTAAACTGACCCTGATCATCCTGCCTCATCTCTTAAGTGCTGGGACTACAGGCTTGCGTGCCACCAACCTGGTATGTTTTAGATTTTAAGTACAGTTATGAGTTGGGGATGTTGCTCAGTGGTAGAGTGCTGAATGCCTGGGATCAATCTCTAACATCTACTCTCTACCCACCAAAAGACAATATAGCATGTTCTTGATTTAACCAAATATAATTTAAAAATTAATACTATATACTCATTTCAAAGGCACTATGGTAAAGAGGATTAGTTTTCATTTAAAATGTTGGTTGGTTAATTGATACCTTAACAGATGATTAAACCATTAATACATTTTTACCAAAGCTCCTTGAGTATTTTTCTGGTTTGAGTGTCAAATGACCTGGCTTTAGTTAATAAACTGACCTTCTTAAGTTTTGGCACTGTTAAGATATTCAACTTCTAGGCCAGGCATGGTGTGGCATACCTTTGATCCCAGCACTTGGGAGGCAGAAACAGGGGGATCTCTGTGAGTTCAAGGCCAGCCTGGTCTACATAGGGAGTTTCAGGCCAGCTGAGACTATAGGGAAACCCTGTTTCAATAAGACCAAAAAAAAAAAAATTTTTTTTTTTACTTCTTATTAACATGGTCAAATAAAATAGCCTGGTTGTGAAAACTCTCTTACAATGTTGCTTCTAGAGGCTATACACCTACTTGTATGAGATTCTGTCATACTAATTCCTAGCATTTATGAGGCCTACTTATTCTTCAGGTATTTTGTTTGGTTCCATTTTTGTTCTTTTAGTCTTTTCAGATAAGCTGTCATGTACTCCAGGCTAGCCTTAAATTGACTGTATAGCAAAGGACCCATCTCTCAGATGCTGGGATTGAAGGTTTATACCACCAGGCCTAAATTAAATGTGGTTTTGGTCAGTTCATCGTGGTTTTTAATGGAAAAAGTTATTGCTAAATTCCTGCTCTTAGTTTCCTTCATACAGTTCCAGAATTAAATGCTCTGCAATTTTCCATTATCTGGTATATCAGGATTAGTCAGATGAGATATAAAGCTTTCTTTTACTGGTGATAGTTCTGAATTGAAATTATTATAATTAAAGTTCAAGAATAAATAAAATTTGAGGATATCATGTAACTCATGCTCTTTTTTTCATGTATTTTTAGGATAGAATTAAAACATTAGTCTCTATGCTTAACATTTTAGTGTTATCTGTAATGCAGGAGAAAATAAAACAATACTATTTTTTCATTGTTATCATTACAACTACAATTTTTTAAGCACAATATTCTGTCACAGTAATAGTGAAGAATTAAAAAGAAGGAATTCCACAAGTCATATTTAAGGTTTAGAAATAGAGACATTATCCCAATTGTTTGCGCCACTAAATTACTCACCTTTACCTCATTATAGGCCTTCATCAGCACTTTTCCTATGAAATAAACAATAGATACATTGTATATGACATTAGAATATTTGAATTCTATTCTATTTTTAAAATTTCTGTATATGTTTTTCATAGAGCTTAAGAAAAGATGCAGAATCTCGTAGAAGAGAACTTCATATCCGAACATATGCAGTCATTCCACTGAATGATGAATGTGGAATTATTGAATGGGTGAACAACACTGCTGGCCTGAGACCTATTCTGACCAAAATATATAAGGAAAAGGGTATTAAATTAATTGTTATGCTATAAGTATGTAATATGGGAATGTTAGCTACAAACATGTAAAATATAAACATAGTTTTTTTTGTTTGGTTCTTTTTTGGTCTTTTTGAGACAGGGTCTCTGTGTAGCTCCAGCTGGCCTAGAACTCACTATGTAGACCAGGCTGGCCTTGAACTCGTAAAAATCCGCCTGCCTCTACCTCCCGTGCTGGGATTAAAGAATATACAGAAGCATGTAAAGTCTTTGCTCCTTCCTTCTCTCCCTCCTTTCCTTCTTTTGAACAATTCCTCTTTTTTAATTGGAAAAATATTTGAGGTAACTTACAAAAAACAGTCTTAACATTTATTTTTCTAAGAAGTTAGCAATTCTGAAATCAATGGATGTGTCTTTAGAAAATATGTAAATATTTTGTGGGTAACGAAAGCTAGTTTTTCACTGTCATTGAAAAGAAGGAAAGTGCTTGACTCCAATAAAAGACTGTCCTAATGCAATAACTTAAGCAAAGGTGATGATGATGATATTAATCAATTATAACCCATGAAATGAAATAGACATATATCCATACTGATGTAAAAAAAAAATACTTGAATAAATAGGTTAAGTAGGTAAAGCTTTATTGTAGTAAAATTGGAATGAATAAATGTAGTATTGAAGAAATTAGCAAACACTATAGGAATAGCTGTTATGGGCAGTGATCATGAATGGGTGCTAAAATTAATACACAAAAATAGCTGGGTGTGGTTGTGCAGGCTTGTAATCCTAGCACTCAGGAAAGCCAAGGCAGGAAGATCATGAATTTCAGTGCTAGTCATAGCTGCATAACAGCTATACCCTGTCTCAAAATAAAAGTGGTAGAGTGCTAGAGAGAGGGCTCAGCAGTTAAGAGCACTGGCTGCTCTTTCAGAGGACCTGGGTTCAGTTCCCAGCACCTATATGGCACCTAACAACCATCTATAACTAGTTCTAGGGGATCCAATGCCCTCATCTGGCTTTTGTGGGCATTGCATGCACAGGTACACTTAATATACATGCAAGCAAAACATTCATACACATAAAGTAAAAATAAATTTAAAAAAGTTAAAGGCAAAAGGATAGGAAGAAACAGATTATCTGTGAAAGTACTTTCTCATAATATACTAATTGTGACAGGAAAAAAACGTAGTAATGTTAAGATATAGTATCTTTATAATAGAGAAACAAAATATATCAGATCAGAACTCTTAAATAAGTAATGAGGAGCATACAAGTTTTCCAGACTTGATAATATTAAGGAAGCATGATAAGTGAATGCAAAATAGGAGAAAAGGTATCCTAATGAAACAATTTAGTGAAATTTGAATTAGTTCTTAAGGTCAGTTAATTATACAGTAATAATAAGAATGTCACAATTTAAATGTACTATAATGAAGGATATGAGCATTAAGGAAAGTTGAGTGAGCAATATACAGGAATTCAATTTATCATGTCTTCCACTTTTTGTAAATCTAGAATTATTTAAAAATAAGATTTTTTTCTTTTCTCTTTCAAAATAAATTGTTTTGAAGCTGGGCATGATGATTCAATCCTAGCACTTGGGAGGCAGAGGCAGGTGAGATTGGGGCCATAGAGAGTTCAAGGTCTGTTGGGGCTACAGGGATATGCTGTCTTAAAAAATAAAGCAGAGCAAAATCAAAAATTAGAAATTTATGAAATGCATCAAAAACAAATAGATCAAGTTATCAGAGTGAAGTACAGAATAAGGCTATGTGTTTCAGATTGCTACCACAAAAATACCACAAACTAGATATGACTTAAACACAAAAAAATATTGTCAGTTTTAAAGCAAGAAGTGCAAAACCAAAGACCAAAATCATTAGGACCCTGAACTTGGAGTCCTCATTTTTTAAATCCTAGCTTCTGGTATTCTTTGGCTTGTAGCTGTATCATACTACTCTGCCTTTTGTTGTCACATAGCGTTTTTAAAAAGAATTTTAAAAATGTATTCTTTGACATTTCATACATGTATACAATGTATCTTAATCTTTATGTCTCCTTTTTTTAAGTCTGTGTGTATGTATGTTCATATGTGTGAATTTGTTCAAGCCTATACCACAGCACACGTATGGAGATCAGAGACAACCTTGAGTGTCAGGTCTTGCCTTCCTTGTTTGAGACAGAATCTTTTGCTGCTTGCTACATATGCCAGACTAACTGGCCTACAAGCTTTTGGAGAGTCTTCTGTCTCTGCTTTCTATCTTGCTGTAGGAGCACTAGGACTACACATAGTTACATGGGTTCTGGACATCTGAACCCGTATCCTCACACTTGATGGCAGGTACTTTACCCGCTGAGCCATCTCCACAGCTTCCCCACTTCCCATAAGGATATAGTCATTGGATTATTGAATTACAAACCCACCTTAATGATCCCATCTTAACATGATTCCATCTGCAACAACCCTATTACCAAATAAGATTACATTTTTTAAACATATATTTTAATCCATAACAATAAGAATAATTTAATCCATAACAATAAGAAGTATTGATAAATTACTATATTATTGGAATAATACTTAGCATGTTATATATATATATAATTTCATTTTTTATTAACAAGCCCAATTATCTTTATATACATTGACAAACAACTAGTTCAAGTTCACATGGTGAACATCTTGAACTGAAACTCACACTCTATCAGATTTTAAGGACTTTGCTGTTAACTGAAGGATGAAATGTTGTGTAAGGTGTAACTATGGATCTCTTAAAAGATGGTTTTCCATTTTTATGAAGATGGGTGAACTATGCAACAAGTGAGATTAAAAACCTCAAATGCTAAGCTTGTCCATAAGACTTTTATATCCAGATGATTTTCATTCTAAGGCTTAGCTTTAGTAAGAATCAATAACATGGGGACTGGAGATATGGCTCAGCAGTTAAGAGCACTGACTGCTCTTACAGAGGACCTGAGTTAGATTCCCAGCATCCACATGGCAGCTAACAAGCAACCATAACGCCATTTCCAGGGGATCTTTGCCCTCTTCTGACCGCCTCGGGCACTGCATGGCAAGGATGCACTTACACACATGCAGGTAATACACTCATATACATAAAATAAAAATAATAAATAAAATATTTTAAAAAGCAAAACAATTTCTTGAAAAAAGAATCAGTAACATGCTAGGTATGGTGGCACAAGCCTATAATATCAGGACTCAGAGGGCAGAGACAGGAGAACCACCACAAGTCTGAGGCAGCCTGATTTCAGACTAGCCATGACTACAGAATAAGACCCTGCTTTCTTTAAACAGTAAATAACACTTTGAATCCCTTAGACTAACCTCAAAGTAAATTATTCCTGAGTACCAGTATGGGCTTCTTCCTAGTGGCTCGATGTATCCCAGTATTGCATCCTGGTTAACAGAAATTACTGTAATTCTAGAGAGGATGGCAGCATTTTCATAGTTCCAGAGCAGCTAGTCACACCTGAATTTTTCTGAGTTTTATATTCTGGAGTTACTTAATCATACATCACTGATTTTTGTTTACATTAATTTTCATCAATAAGAGGCTATGTTTTTGATAAGTACTATGGGAAAATATATGGCTTATTATTTTATTATAATATGAAGTTGTGAGCTCATGTATACATAATATTTTTCCATTCCTGGTTTTCAGTTTGGGTAAAGTAGACATTTCCTGGCATATTTTAACAAAAATTATTTTGCTCCTTTTCTCATTTGGCTGTGTGAGTAATCAAAATCATTCTGCCTTGTAGGAATGTATATGACAGGAAAGGAACTTCGCCAGTGTATGCTACCAAAGTCAGCCGCTTTGTCTGAAAAACTCAAAGTATTCCGAGATCTTCTCCTGCCTAGGCATCCTCCTGTTTTTCATGAGTGGTTTCTAAGAACATTCCCTGATCCTACATCATGGTAAGTTACCAATAATATAATACATTTCTATGGTTGAATGTTTTATTTTTTAATTTTTACCTCATTTGGCACAAAGATATTTAATAGACATTTTATTTCTTAAGGTACAGTAGCAGATCTGCATACTGCCGTTCTACTGCAGTAATGTCAATGGTTGGTTATATCCTGGGGCTTGGAGACCGTCATGGTGAAAATATTCTTTTTGATTCTTTCACGGGTGAATGTGTACATGTGGACTTCAACTGTCTTTTTAATAAGGTATGATGTAACTTACTCTAGTTAATTGGATGTTTTCCCTCAATTTCCTCTGCTTAACACCAGTTCTCCCTAGATATACCAGTTGGCCATACCTGTGTGACACTGGGTGTTTCTTGGTTGGTACTCATCAATGGGTCTTTTAAGAAGGCAGTGTAGGATACAGAGCAGTTAGGAGAGTATGTGAGAGCTAGCACTGAACATTTAAGTCCAAATGCACAGGTTCAAGTTCTTAGTTACTAGTTCTGTGAACATGGGGAGATCAGTTTATTTTACAGAGACTTAGTTTTATAAAGTCAGAGTTGTCTAATATTTCCAAATCTGGCGGCATATAAGAATTATCTAAATTAGAAAAAATTTAGGCTAGGATGTAGTTCAGTGGTATAATACTTACCCACTGTGTGTCAGGCCCTCAATTCATTCCCTAGCAGCTAAATAATAGTAACAATAATAATAATAATAACTACAAGAAATAGTACCCAAATGGTCCTTGAGAATACGTTTAAGGCAATTAGACTTATCTACAAGAACTTGTTTAATTTTCTAGTATTATAATTCTGGAGGGAAGATTGGTAAGCATCTCAGTTTCCTTTTTCCCTGTCTTCTTTGGGGTTACTTTCAGCTGTCACAGGAAGATAAAAAAAAAAGTTCATAGACTCAATTGACAACAGCTTAAAGATAATCCTGTGTTATAGATCAAATCATACAAAAATGGAATTTAGGATACATCCTTGGAGGGACAAAATAGTCATAAGAAAAGAAGTCAAACAGTGTCAGAAGTAAACAGCTGAACTAAGGAGATTCATTTCCTGTCTGAGGGAAACATCCATAGATATTTCTTTTCCCTCCTGTTTTTAAGTGATAATTGTAAAGAAAAGAAGAAAAATAGAGAATAGTTGTATATTATTCAAGAAAGATGTTAAGGAAGTTAATGAGACTAAATATTGAATATATAAAATTATCCATAATAATGTTCACTTTACCAACTCGGTGAAAGTGAATCATTCATTTTGATTTTATCTAAAATCAAGCCATGGTTTCAAGTTGCCCAAAAGCAAATGTAGAGTCATGTAGCTCTCTCCATGGTAAACCTCTTAATACCATTACATAAATATTTTGAGGGTAGTTTTGCGCTTTTCTAAAGGAGTCTAGACATGAAATTCCAAACTCTTTGAACAAAGACTTTAAAATTTTATCATTACTATATAATAAAATTCTGTTTTTTAGGGAGAAACTTTTGAAGTTCCAGAAATTGTACCATTTCGCCTGACTCATAATATGGTTAATGGAATGGGTCCTATGGGAACAGAGGGTCTATTTCGAAGAGCGTGTGAAGTTACATTGAGGCTGATGAGAGATCAGAGAGAGCCATTAATGAGGTAATGATCTGTTCTGTATATAATCTAGTAGTAACCTTGAATGTAAAATCTGCTCCTTTAATAGGTTTTCTTTAAATGGAAATCACTTTTGAGTTAGCTGAAATATATTTTTAAAAATAATAGCTTACCTGGGCATGGTGGTGCATGCCTTTAATCCCAGCACTTGGGAGGCAGAGGCAGGCGGATCTCTTTGAGTTCAAGGCCAGCCTGGTCTACATAGTGAGTTCAGGTCAGCTGGTACTACAGGGAGACCCTGTCTCAAAAAGACAAACAAAACAAAACAAAACTTAAGGCTTGGCATGATGACCTACACCTGTAATCCAGCAGTCAGAAGACAGAGCCAATAGAATCACTGCAAATTCAAGGCTACATAGTGAGCTCTAAGCTAGGCTGGACTACATTGTAAGACTTGCTCCCCCACCCCAAATAAAAAAATAAATAAACAGCACTTAAGACCATAAAATTTACCCCGTGTAACCTCAGTGGTTTTACTTTATTTACACTATTATTATCATTCACAATTTTTTTTTTTTATTTTGGTCTTTTGAGGTAGGATCTCCCTGTAGCCCCAGCTGGCCTTGATCTCAGAGATCTGCCAGTCTCTGTCTCCCAAGTGCTGGGATTAATGGCATGTGCCACCACACCCGGCCAGCCATTCACTAATTTTAGGGCATGTTCAATCCCCAACACAAAGCACTTCCATAGGCATTAGCATTCATTCCCAATTTCTTCCTCCTTTTCTCCTCCCACTAATCTTTCTGCCTCTCTGGATTGACTGTTGTGGACATTTAATGTCAGTGGAATCATATAATTTGTGACCCTTTATACCTATCTACTTTGATTTAGCATAGTGTTTCCAAGGCTCATCATGTGTAAGTGCTCCATTTTTTCTCATTGCCAGTAGTATTCTATTGTAGGAAAAATAGCACATTTTACCTGCTCGTCCTTTAGAGTATTAGTTACTTTTCTGTTGCTGTGAAAAATACCATGACTAAAAGCAACTAATAGAAGGAACACTATTTTGGTTTATGGTTCCAGAGGAAGCATCTGTAATGGCAGGGGAGGAATGGTAGCAAGCAACTAGAGCAGCAAACCTAGAGAGCACATCTCAACCACACAGGCAACAGAGAGAGCAAGCAGGAAGCAGGGGGAGGCTATAAACCCTCAAAGCCTGCACACAGTGATATACTCTCTGCAGGAAGGCTGCACCTCCTAAAGGTTTCAGAACCTTCCCAAACAGCACCAACAACTGGGGACCAAGTGTTCAAATACATGAGCCTGAGGGGACATTTCTTATTCAAACCACAAGTTAATAGACATATGTATTGGTTCTGCCTTTCAGCTCTTGTGAATAGTGTGGCTGTGAACATAGTGTACAAGCTTTATTTAGATGTATGTTTTCAATTCTTTTGTGTATACTTAGGAATACACAATAATAAAAGTTACCTTGAATAACTTTTAAATTGATTTCCAGAGCAGTTATAACAATTTTATTATTCCATTAGTAATGTATATGGGTTATAATTTCTCCACAGCTTTACCAACACTGATAATTGTCTGTCATTTATCCATCCTACTGGGTATGAAGTAGTATCTCATTATGCTTTTAATTTGCCCTTCCCTAGTGAACAGGACTATTGAGCATCTTTTTGTTCACATATTGTCCATTTGTGTCTTTGCATAAATTCTGTTCTTTTGGATAGGGGTACATTTGTCTTTGTTACCCTTAAATTCCTGGTCTAAATGTAGACACATACCACTGTACCATTTTTTTTTAATTGGGTTGCCTTTTATTCTTGAATTATAGGAGTTGTTGTTGTTGTTGTTGTTGTTGTTGTTGTTGTTGTTTTGAGACAGGATCTACCTGTAGACCCAGGTAGCCTGGGAACTCACCATGTAGACCAGGCTGGCTTTGATCTCACAGATTTCTGCCTGCCTCTGCTTCCCAAGTGCTGGGATTAAAGGCATGTGCTACTATGCCCAGATCATAGGAGTTCTTTACATATTCTGAACACAAGAGCCTTCTGACACATATATGATCTGCACATATTTTCTCTTATCATTTTACTTTCTTGATGATGCCTTTTCAAGCATAAAAGTTAACCCAGGGCCTTTCACATGTTAAATACACACTGAAGCACACATTACCACCAATCTGTATCCCAGTCAAAGTGTTTAATTGATAAAAGTTTATATACTTTTTTATTTTGGTTATTTTTGATATCACATGTAAAAAACTGCCTCATTGAAGCTCATGATTTATACCTGTTTTCTCCTAAACATTTTATAGATTTTGCTCCATTTTAATCTTTGATCTGTTTTCAGATAGTTTGTGTATAGTGTGAAATAGGAATTCACATTCATTTTTTCAACTGTGCAAATTCATTTGCTTTAGTACAATTTTGTTTTGTTTTGTGGTGTGTTGTGTTTTGTGGTGTGGTGTGTTTTGTTTTGTTTTGTTTGTTTTGTTTTGTTTGAGACAAGGTCTTACTATGTAGCCAGGGCTGGATTTGAACTCACTATGTAGGCCAGGCTGGTCTGGAACCTATAGCAATCCTCCTGCCTCTGCCTCCCAAGTGCTAAGATGGGATTATAGGCATGTGTCACCACACCTGGCTACCAGTTTTTGAGGAGTCTTTTTCTTCATTTAATTGTGCTGACATTTTTGTTGAAACGATAGCTGGCCTTTCAGCAATTTTAGTGATTTCTGTGTTTAACTTTGTGCCAACTACCATTGTCTTGACTATGCTAGTTTTATAGTAAATACTGAAATCACAAAGTGTTGAATATTCTTTGTTCTTTTTCAATATTGCTTGACTAATGAGAGTCTCTTGCATTTCCTTAAGAATTTTAATCATCACATCATCTTAGCAATTTCTCCAGAATGCCATCTTGAATTTTGATAGGAATTTTATTGAATTTGTAAATACGTTTATAGAGTATTGCCATCTTAACAGCATTAAGCTTTCTGAACTATAAACCTGTTTTCCCATTTATTTAAATATTCATTAATTTCTTGTAACAGGGTTTCATAGTTTTAAATATACAAGTCTTATATTCAGCTTTTAGAAGTTTTATTCCTAGACTTGGGAGATGGTTCAGTCCATAAAATGCTTGCCTCACAAGTGAAAGATCTGAATTCAGATGTTAATTTATTTTTGGAGTATTGACTGCTAGTTTATAGAAGTACAACTGATATTTATATGCTGTTTTTTGTACCCTGAAACCTGCTGAGCTTATTTGGTCTAATAGTTATTTTTGTGGATACCTTAAGATTATCTCTCTGCAGCAGAAAATCATCTGCAGATAAGGATGTTTTATTTCTTCCTTGTCAATTTTAAGGCCTTTTCTTTTTGTCTGATTGTCCATTTTAATCAATATGAACTAGATGGAGCAAGGGGAATTTTGTAGATCTTAGAGATAAGTCAGTCAGTTCCTTTAATTTGGTATTGCACATGTGCAATTGGAGGTCAGAGGTTGACATCTGGTATCTTCCTCAATTGCTCTGCACTTTTTAAAAAAAACTATTTTATTATTTCACTTTATGTGTGTAGGTGTATTGCCTGAATGTGTTTTAAGTGTACCCGTGTTGTGCGATGCCTGAGGAGATCAGAAGAGGGTGTTGAATCCCTGGAACTGGGGTTACAGACAATTGTTAGCAGTCGTGTGGGTGCTGGGAATCATACTCAGGTCTGTGTAAGAGCAGCCAGTACTCTTAACCACTGAGCCATCTCTTCAGCCCTTCTGCACTTATTTTTTGAAACAGAGTCTCTGTCTGAACATGGAGTCACTAATTATGCTAAACTGGCTGGTCGTAGAGCTCCAGTCATCTCCCTGTCTCCACCTCCACAGTGCTTGGGTTACATACACCTACCACTTCTCCTGGCTTTTTATGGGTACTGAGGATCTGAATTAAGGCCCTGAGGCTTACACAGCAAGGACTTTACTGAATGAACCATCTCCTCAGTCCAGGACAGTGAATTTTTAAATAACTTTCAGTTTCCTTTTATATTGATATATTTAAGAGCTGTATACTAGACATTATGGTTGAATGCTGTAGTCAGTTAAACATAGATAAGGACAAAGGCAAATCCCCTTCAGAGGAAGTCATCATTTTATGAATCACCAAGAACCCTATATTTTGATAATACATCCAAACAAGTATTTCCCATGAGTAGCTGTAATTGATTTTTAGATCACAAAAGAAAGATTTGGGCTGAATCTGTATGGTAACTGTAGGTATTGTATATTTCTTGAGCATGGTAGAAGATAAAATTAATATTTACCAGTTCACAGTCTACATCTTGAGATATCACACAGAATTCATCGTACTCTCCCAGTACACCTCTGACTCTCTTCCATCCTACCTCCCTAACTTTCCTTTCCCCTTGCCCTCCTTTCACTCCAAAATGGTAATTTCCCATAAACTCCTGAAAATGTAGTATTGTATAGTAATATAGCTTGGGAAGTTATTACCATTATCTTCTCATCCTTCGTGTATTTTTTAAAATACATTTATTCAACAACAGTGATATACCGTAGAATTATAGTTTAAAAAAAAAAAAGGGTAAGTTTCTCAGGGTTTTCAAATTCCTGGCATATTACTCTTTGAGATTCAGGGACAGTAAGTATTCCTAAGAATTCTCAGACATTTCGAAATTATGATTATTTTAGACCTACTTCTAACAATCGTCACTCCCTTACTTGAATATCTTAAATTCTTTAATATGCCTTTTGTCTTTTATTATTAACTTTTCTTGTTCTCCTTTCTGAATATGATACTATACCCACCTGTACATTAGTTTACACATATATACGTATACATTATAGGCTAGGATCCACATATGAGAACATGATATTTTATTTTTCTGAGTGATGTCACTTAATAATATACATTCGAAGCCCATTCATTTTCCTGCAAGTTTTGTTACTTCATTTTTCTTTAGAGCTAAACAATAGTCCACTTTCTATGTGTACCAGATTTCCATTATCCAGTCATCTGTTGATGAACAGGTAGGTTGGTTCAATTTCCTTGCTATATTGAATGCAGTAGCAATAAATATGGGGGTGCAAGTATCTATGGAAAGGTAGGAAGTTTTCTGGGTATATGCCCAGGAGTCAAATAGTTAGATCATGTTATAATTCTATTTTTAATTTTTTGAGGAGCCGCCAAACTGGTTTCCACAATGGCTGTATTAATTTGCACTCACAACAGCAGTAAATAAGGTTTTCTCTTTCCCCACATCCTCTTCAACATTTGCTGTCAGATTTCTTGATAATAGTCATTCAGACTGGAGTGAGATGGTATCCTCAATTCCTACATGAAATTAGAATGTTTCTGCAAAGCAAATTATCAGCAGAGCAAACAGCCCACAGAATGGGAGAAAATCTTTACCATCTCAGACAAGAGGCTAATATCCAGAATTTTCAAAGAACTGCAAAAATTAAATACCAAGGAAATAAAACTGCCAATCAACAAATAGGGTAATGAATGAATAGAAAGTTTTCTAAAAAAGAAATACAAATGGTCAATAACTTTTTTTTTTTTTTTTTTGGTTTTTTTGAGACAGTTGCCCCAACTGGCCTGAAACTTGCTGTGTAGACTAGGCTGGCCTCGAATTCATAGACATCCACCTGCCTCTGTGTGTGCCACCACGCCCAGCTTTCAATAACTTTTTAAAGATGTTTGACATCCCTAGTCATCTGGAAAGTGTAAATTAAAACTATTTTGACATACCGTGTATTTTTTAAAGTATTGTATTTAGTAAGATTTTTTTTTTTACAAAAATAACATATTATTGCTATACTATATTTTGTTTCACTTTTAGTGTCTTAAAGACTTTTCTACATGATCCTCTGGTGGAATGGAGTAAACCAGTGAAGGGGAATTCCAAAGCACCACTGAATGAAACTGGGGAAGTTCTCAATGAAAAGGTTAGTAAATGCTTCAGCTTGATACAAGCTAATACTTTATCTCTCTTCAAATGAGAACTGATTCCAGATATTATCAGTGACCTAAGTACTGATTACTCTGAAAGCTAACATTACTTGAAACTGCAAAGTTGACAATTAGAATACATTGACAATGATTTAATTTTTCTTTTTTTTTTTTCTTTAGGTTCTTGGGATTGAACCCAAGGCCTTGTGCATGCTATATACATGCTCTAATTAATGTTTACTGCCCCAGACTAAATCCTCAACCTAAGATTTTTTTTTTTTTTTTTTTGGTCTTTTTGAGACAGGGTTTCCCTGTAGCCCCAGCTGTCCTGGAACTCACTATGTAGACCAGGCTGGCCTTGAACTCACAGAGATCCACCTGCCTCTGCCTCCCAAGTGCTGGGACTACAGGCGTGTGCCATCACGCCTGGCGAGAATTTTTTTCAAACCATTCTGTTTTGCCTTCTAACATGCTTTTCTTAAGAGAAATATATAGAATTCTAAAGTTGTTCACTTAAAAACTCCATTTACATGCACTAACATCATATTAGAGCATTGTTGCCATGATTAAAATATTCAAATATTTAAGTACTAACACTTTCAGAATAGGTTGTTTTTTTTATTTGCTTAGTTTTGCTTTGGGTGGTGGAAGGGAATGAAACCTAGGGTCACCTATACAACAGGCAAGCACGCAAACACTGAGTTATACTCCTAGCCCTCAAAATAGACTTTTTAAATGATTACTTTTCTGGAATTGTGATATAGAAAGAGTTCCTTGTGGTTTTGGTGTTTTTTTTTTTTTTTTCAGTCTTTTTGAGACACGGTCTCCCTGTAGTCTCAGGCCAGACTGGCCTTGAACTCACAGAGATCCGCTTGCCTCTGCTCCCAAGTGCTGGGATTAAAGGCGTGCACCACCACGCCTGGCCTCCTTGTGTTTTTTTAATACAAACATGTTCACTTAGCAGATGTTGAATCATGTGAACTTCAAAGTCAGTATTTGAAGTAATTGCATTTATTTCATTCTTTTTGTTCTTATTCCTACAAAGGGGTATTGCTTAGCAAAACAATGACATTAATTAAATACCAAGAAAATAACATTACATGTTATTGGGTCCATAGCTTTAATGACTTTCTATTTTTTAGGCTAAGACCCATGTTCTTGACATCGAGCAGCGACTAAAAGGTGTAATCAAGACCCGAAACAGAGTAACAGGGCTGCCGTTATCTATTGAAGGACACGTGCATTACCTCATACAAGAAGCTACTGATGAAAACTTACTATGCCAGATGTACCTTGGCTGGACCCCATATATGTGAAATGAAATTATTTCAAATATGTTAATAATCTAAAATGAATGTTATTAATCAGTGGTATGTCTATTTAATTCTAGCGTACAAAATACATTTATGTTCCCTAAACAACTTCTCTTTCTCTCTGAACAGTATTTAAAATACTGTGTTCAATTCTTAAGAAACACCCCTTAGAATATACTGTGTATTCTAACTAGAGAAATAGAACATTGTGTTCTCATAAGAAAAAATAATTGCAAGAGACTTAACTTTATTTTTACAATTTTAATTGATTTCCTTTTCAAAGTGGGGGCATACATTTTCGTTTGAACAATAACAGAATTATTGAATTCATACTCTGGGAAGGCACTGTACTAGACTTAAGCGTACAGCTACGTCTTCTGCCCTGTAGGAAATGATAGTACATTATTGAATTCATTTCATAAAACTTTCCCAGTGCATGAAAATGTGATTGGGAAAGGGAGAGAAATCCAAGAAACATGAACATGAAAACTAAACTATGCAATTGATTTATTTTGGGGGTGCTAGAGATTAAACTCAAGATCTCTGTCATGCTAGGTATGTGTTCTACAATTAAACCCCAACCCCAACATTCTGTTATTTTAAATGCTGGTGGTGTGCCAGAATACACAGTATTCATGGAAGACACCAATACTTAAAATTCTGCAATATTTTAAAATTAAAAAATTTAAATGTCTTTAGGGTTTTTCTGTACATTCTCTTATAGATTAAGATGAAAATAATTACAAAGTAGTACATTTATTACAATTAAGTAAATGGAAAACACCTACATTTAAAACAAAGATGACTACTTAGTAGAACTGTTCTTTTTGGTTTTTTGTTTTTTCTCATGAGCAGAAGTGTAATGAGGTAACACATGGTAAGCAAGGATGCATGACTGAAAACTGAGCATATAATTTCCTATCCAGAGCTTAATGCTAGGGTATTATGGGTAGAGTAATTAGGAAATCATTTTTCAGCAGTGTGTTGTGTATGGGTGTGTTTTGCATTCTAATTTCATTTTGGTGTTTATTCATATATTTTAAACCTTTTTTTTTTTTTTTTTTTTTTTTTTTTTTTTTTTTTGGTCTTTTTGAGACAGGGTCTCCCTGTAGCCCCAGCTGTCCTGGAACTCACTATGTAGACCAGGCTGGCCTTGAACTCACAGAGATCTGCCTGCCTCTGCCTCCCGAGTGCTGGAATTAAAGGCATGTGCCACCACACCTGGCATTATTTTAAACATTTTAAAATTAATTTGCACTGATGTATATTCATTGTACAGAGCACATTATATATTTGTATGAAAAGATGTGTGGATCCTTTCATACAGATATATAATGTGCTTTGAACATATTCCTCTGATACCCCTCCCTTCCCTCCCCCCACTTAGTAAACCCTTGTGTTTCCCTAGATGGTGTCATTTCTACTTTTATCTCATACATGATTTTAAGTATCTCTATGAAATCTAGGGACATGGGGCTGGAGAGATAGCTTAGCAGTTAAGAGCATTGAGTGCTCTTGCAATGGACCCAGATTCGACTCCCAGCACACTCATGGTGGCTAACAACCATCCATAACTCCAGTTCTTTCACCTTCTTCTGATCTCTTCGCACATGAGTGCACTTACACACAAGCAGGCAATAAACTCAAACATATAAAATATAAATAAATAAATAATAAAACCTAGGGACCACATATGAAAGAAAACATATTTATTTTCCTGAGGCAGACTTAATTCTCTTAATATGGTTATCACCAGTTGAATCCATTTTCCTGCAAATGATAGAGCTTCGTTCTCCATTAGTGAAAAAATTCTATATGTAATTTTCTATATCCATTCTCCACAAAGAATCATTTTTCAAATAAAATGCTAATCCAGTCTTTTACATTCAGGCCAATATTAAATGCTTTAAATTCTTTTAAGTATTTCAGCCTGATTTTCATTTCCCAAAGTGACTTTTTTTTTTTTTTTGCCAAATCTGCACCTGTACAAAGACAGTGGCACTGACATTTCAGTCACACACACCAACACTAACATTTGGAAGCATTTGAAACTGCTTTATTGTTGGGTGAGTTTGTAGACATTGAGGAATACCTGGGTATGAGTCTTCTCCATACAATTTTTGCATGGAACCTGAAGTCATGTTCATGGAGGGTTCCCTCTACAAAAGATGGACAATGTCCTTACTCCTGTGGAGTTCAAACCATACTCATGAGTGCCAGGCAATACCCAGGAAAGAATTAAGTAACTTCTGGGAGTGCTTATGAGGAAAGTCACACAATAGCAGTGTCAGGTACAAAGGTTAAAATGTGGAATGCTCAGGGTGGCTTCTGGGTCTGGGCTGAGAGCCTGGAGCTTGTTATGTAGATGAGGATCACCTTAAACTCTTGGTCCTCATGTGTCCACCTCTCAAGTGCTGAAACTTGAACTGCTATGGCTTGAACGCCATGCTAGGCTTTTTGCGTTTTAACGTTTATATTTTTTATTTTTTAATCGAATTTTGTGTATTTCATACACATCTTAATCTTTGCATCCTCCCATAATCCCCCCCCCATTTCATGCATTCTGTCCTTTATGTTAAGGTCTATGAGTCGTTCTTTAAATATCATTTATTATTTTATGTGTAAGAGTGTTATGCGTGCATGTAAGTGCACCCAAGTCACGCAATGCCCACGGACAGAAGAGGCTGTCAGATCCCTGGAACTGAAGTTATGGACAATTGTTAGCTGCCATGTGGGTGCTGGGATTCGAACGCCGGTCTTTTGCAAGACCTGTCAATGTTCTTAACCGCCGAGCCATCTCTGTTATTTAAGACAAGGTCTTAGCTGAGGATGACTAAGAACTTCTGATACTCCTTATATGTTTCCCAAGTCCTGGGATTTACAGGCTTGCAACACCACACCAGGATTCTGCTCTTTGTTTGGGGGTTTGTTTTGAGGCAAGGTCTCAAAGAGTTGGATGGGGAGTAACCCAAAGTTTGGGTTTGCTTAGGTAACTGCTATATCACAGTCACCGTCTCATAATGAAAAGAACTTTAAAAGAAAATAATTTTTAAAAGTTGGTGGCGCAGGCCGTTAATCCCAGCACTCCGGAGGCAGAGGCAGGCGGATCTCTGTGAATTCAAGGCCAGCCTGGTCTACATAGTGAGTGTCAGGACAGCTGGGGCTACAGGAAGACCCTGTCTCAAAAAGACAAAAAAAAAAAAAAAGTTACAAAAAAGAAAATACTGTAGATTTACATTACTCAGAGAAAATAATTTCCTCTCGCAAAATAAACTGAAACCAAACTAACCAGGAGCATTCCAAATCCGCATTGAAAAATAACTGAGTTTAGCAATCCAGGAGGCCAGGAGAAAAGCAGTGTCCAGCACCCTCCGGATGTTCCCTTCATGGTCTTCAGGCCATCTTCAAGTCCACATCTCAGGCACAGCTCTAAACTGCCACAAAAGCAGAACACCGCCTCCACCGACCTGGAAGGATAGCCGGAAGTGGCTCCGCCCACCAGCGCCGCGCGGTCGCTCTAGGCTGGAGGGCTTCTCTATGGTCCGACGGACCCTGTGTTGTCATCCTGCAAGCGACGGCAGGAAGCAGCGGGGTAGGCCCCGGCGGGGCGTTTGGTTTCGGATCAGTACTGGCTGGAATTAGTGTCGACGGTCGACATGGGAGTCCCCAAGTTTTACCGGTGGATCTCGGAGCGGTATCCCTGCCTCAGCGAAGTGGTGAAGGAGCATCAGGTGGGTGAGCGCCGGACGCGGCGCGGAGGCCCGGCCCTGCGGGCCTTTCCGAGCCCCGGGCTTCCCAGCTGCAGGCTGCTGGTTCCCGGACTGACGGGAGGCGGAGGGAGGGGGCAGGAGGTCTGAGGCCTCGGTGAGGAGTCGTTCCGTTCCGAGGCTGCGAGGCAGATTCCGTTCCTGGGGCTTCGGCCGGGACTCGCGGCTGGTCTGACAGCTCTGTCTGGGCAGAGCCTTCCGCAGCTTGTGAAAAGCCCTGGGTGGGGACGCAGTTACTCCGCGGAGCTGCAGAAGTGTCGCTTTACCTTAGGCTGCGAAGCTGAGAGGATGCCTTCTCGGGTCCCTCATCCCACGCAAAGCCACCGACCCACGTACAAACAGTAACAGCCACCCCTGTAGTGGAATCCCCACGAAGAGTAGCATCTCACCCCTAGAGCCTGGACCGGCCGATGTGGCCGGTGGCTCGTATTTGTGATACCTTTCGATACTCAAGCCCCCAAATAGCGCCAACCCCTTTTGAATAAACAAAAGGGGGATGCGGGATGGAGGCTTGGGGGGCTTAGCGGCTTCAATGTGGCTGAGGTCGGAAACATTATTAATACTTTGTGTATAATTACTCCTCAGCAGCATTTATGTGGATTCATTTGTGTATTTATATATTGGGATATACTTGCATATTTTAAAAATGGGAAGAGGAGAGAAAGCAATCCTTTAATAGGTAAACTAGACTTTGGGTGATACTTTACTGTGTCACAATGACTTTGATAACTATTTTGTCTGTTTTGCAGATAAAAATCGTCTTTGAAATTTGTATAGCTAACTGAATTGCTTGTGATAGGTAGCGTTGTATTAACACCGGGAGTGGACAGTTGCATTCTGGTTTAATTTTTTTATGATACTTACAAGGATAGAGTCTAGTCTCTGCAAAGGATTCCTTTGATGTGGGATTCTAATGAAAATTAACATATGAAAACAAACTTTAAAAAATTCCGAAGTGCTAGCTTATGTTTTGTTTATTTGAAGCATAGATTGGGGTAGATTTAGAGGGACACTTATTTCCAAAGAGGATTAAAAATAGAGACAGTTAAATGCTTTTCCTGGATCTTTGATCAACAAAAATTTGATAGCACATAATTTGTTCATTGACATTTATTTCCTATACTCTTTGGCACAGACTTTTGTTTGGTGAAACTATCTTGGATTCTCTATTCTCTATTCTGTTCCTATAAAAATAACAGTCTTTTAAAGACTACTTTATGTCGTAGACAGTAAGGATAGATTTTGTGAAAGCTTTACTGTAGATAGAAATTGGGACTAAGGATTGCTTTAATATATCACCCTGTAAGTAAATGTTAAAGCTTGGTGCGTCAGAGTAATGTCTTCCACAAGTGTTTGGTTACAAAGAGACAAAAGGGGGTCCAAGGAAGATGGCCCAGTGGATTAAGTGCTTGCTGCACAGTCATGACCCAAGTTTGGATCCCTAGCACCTACCTAAAAGCTAGGAGTGGCATGCAACACCTATAATAGTACCAGTGCTAGGGAACAGACACACGGATCCTTGGGGGCTCGCTGGCCAGCTAGCCCAGCTGAATTAGTGAGCTTCAGGTTTGGTGAGAGACAGTCTCAAAAAATAAGGTGGAGAAGCAATAGAGGAAGATACTAGAGTTGACCTCTGGCCTCATGTGCCTACATAGGTGAGTCCCCGAATACACTGGAGGGAAAGGATCAGAAGGAGTATGTTTGGGGAAGAGAGTGAGAATGGTATCAGCACAATTATTTTCAGTCTTTGAATCCTAACATGAAAACAGAAAGAGAAACTAGCTAGTAAACTTTAAATCCATAAAACAATTGCAATAAACCCTGTGATACATGTTTCCCCATGATACATCAGAGTCAAAATACTACTAGATGAGGGCAAAGTACCAACAACCCCTAGACAGAGGTACAAAAAGAAAGAGGAAGCAATGCAGAAATACATGCTGAACCTGCCGACAATTCCATAATACCCAATAAGGAAGTATCGTTAAAGACTGCTAGCCAATTACAGAACAGTAACTAAAACTAGGGGCTTTAGTCTCTTCAGGACTGACTGGGTCTACCATAAGAAAAAGCAGTATCCCACCTGTAAACTCTAAAAGCAGACCTACCAAGATGCTACCCTAAGGAGAAGTGGCTGGAAATAAAATGAAATGTTATCACAGAAGGGACAAGTAGAGATAGAGAAAAAGGCAGCAGATAAAACTTAGGAAGAATTAGAGTGAAGAAATCTGGTCTTTTTTTTTAAATAACTTTTTTAAAATTTATTTTATAACCACATGATTAGAAGCATTTCATTACAGCTATAACATATTCAATAACAATTTCCAGAACAAAGATACATCTCTTTCAAAAGTGGCTGCAAATTTTTAGGTTCACAGTTGAATTAATACAGTTATACAATATTGAACTCAGTATAAACCCTATAAGACATAAAATTGAATGACTTTTTAACCTTTAAAAAAGATCTCCATTTCATTTTAAGATATACTGTTTCCTTCAGAAAGACTCATTTTTAATGCTGCTAACACTTAGCTGTTTGCACATGCATCTCTAATCTCTATGTATCTGACTATTATTAGTCACAGTCGGTTACATTTGGATTCTTGACACCTGAGTATGGATATAAAGTCATCAGGTAGATTTTAATGGTTATGTTTATCACCTCTACTAACATGGAGTAAATTTTTATGCTTCCTCCTCAAATATAACTTATGTTTTTAATTTATTGGTTTTATGTGTGTGTATATCATACAGAACATCCAAAACAGTCTCATTCATCTATATACCCACTTCGCGAATGGCACCCTCCCATAGCCGCCCCCCCCGCCCACTGGAGCCCATATACTCTGTCATCCCTGTCACTGTCCACTGTGTTGTCTTGTCCAACCGCTGAATCTAGTCAGCCTATCTAGAGTTCAGTCTTTTAGGAAGATCAGCTGTTTCTCATCTAGCCGCAATCAGTTGTCAATATTCCTTTCCCAGTTCTATGCTGGGTTACTGTCTGGGAGTCTTTTGGGCCACCCTGACCAACAACTCAAAGGAAGGTATCTCCTGTTTGGCATTGTTTCTTGTTATGTAGCCTTTAGCTCTACGTATGGACTCTTAAAAAATTATATTGACCCCTTTAATCCTTGGGTATACTTTCCTTTTGGGTGTTTAAGACCCTACAGTTGACCCAGATAAACCAATTTATTTTTACTCTTAAGGCCATTTGAGGAT